AAAAGACACGAGCCGGCGTGTTCGCGCTCTTCGCGCGCCTCGAGAATCTGGCGGCGCCGACAATGTGGATAGCGCGCCGCTGCCACCGCGCCATCGCAACAACGGGCGGGACGCCGTCGCAGCCTGCTTCCCGCTATTTTGCCCGTATACCTTTCCCGGCCGCCGCTGGCGTTACAAGGGTTAGCGAAGGCGATCGCTCTCGCGAATAGTGACGTCAACACCAACGAGGTGCGCGCCAGGGAATCTGAACGCAAGCGTCGCGTGTGGAAGACCAGCAACACCTACGAAATGCGAGTTAAGAACACCGACCGCGTTCGAGTATACAGGCGGCGCGTGGGTAACCCCGACGAGACGCGAGTTAATGAAGCCGAGCGCAAGCGTCTTCAACGCGTTTCGCCTCCCGTGTCTTTGCGTTTCAAACAAACGTTTACTCGAGTAACCACTACTGTGAGTTTCACTTCAAACCATTCTTGCAGCATCCGTGTCGACGCCTGTTTCAAGGGGGTCAACGTGGTGCGCACCGCTGCTGCTTTGCATGCCACCTGAGTTCCCTTCTGGAAGATGGTACATTTTTTATTGAACCCTTTTCGTACACTCAAGCCCCGCCGCGGTGGTCTAGTGGCTAAGGTACTCGGCTGCTGACCCGGAGGTCGGGGGTTCGAATCCCGGCTGTGGCGGCTGCATTTCCGATGGAGGCGCAAATGTTGTAGGCCCGTGTACTCAGATTTGAGTGCATGTTAAAGAACCCCAGGTGGTCGAAATTTCCGGAGGCCTCCACTACGGCGTCTCTCATAATCATATGGTGGTTTTGGGACGTTAAACCCCACATATCAATCAATCGTACACTCAAAGTCAGGGGAGTTATTAGCGCCAATGTTTCTCTTGCATATCATTTCCTTGATGATGTGCTTTGTTCCAAGCACCATTTGTGGCACCACACCACCTGCCAAAAAGCTTCACCAACACGCTAGTGCGGCCCGTTTACAAGAAAAATGGCTCAAGGTCGTTCTTTTGTGTGAACCTCGTTGGTGGCACTGGCTACGCACAAGTTTGTGGCGCGTTGGCGCCCACACGACCGATGGTGCTGAGAAACGTATAAGAGCAAAACCGAGCTATTGATTTACAAAGTCAACCTAATCGCGTTCATCCCATGGAGGTAAACAAACGATTCTGGAGGGGAAGCTCTCACAACGCCTTACCGGTCATAGTGAAGTAAGCTTTTGCCATCCCTTAACCTCATAAATATACTTTTCTTGGGGGGTTTCGGCGAAGACAACAAGTGTTTTCACTCCGTTCATATAATTGATAGGTTAAATATAAAATAAGAGATTGTTGTTCCCGAAGAAAGTAGCATATAACCTATAATTGATGGCTTTATCTTTCCTGACTTGGAGGTTTCTTAAGGAAACCAGAAATTAGAAGACGCACGTTGACCAGTATCTCTGCGGGATAAAATGCTATACTAAACTCTTAAGGCGTAGGATGAAAACTTCCTTTCATTGACTGAACACTAACGTTTTATAATAGCCCAACTATAATGGCGGCTGTTATACCACCAGCTTTTGGGGTTATGACTTCACTGTTGAGGCATAATTTCTTCTTCATCAACTTTTTTCACATATTTGGTTCAGCCACAGCAACGTTCACAGCACTCGGCTTTTAAGACACCAACTGCTGAAGGTCGGGCCTAGCTTGGTGCATACACTCAAGAACGTCCCTAAATCAAAATTATAAATATGTACTCAGGCTGTTGCTTGTTGCCCTCGCTTTTGTTGATGTTGCGGTTGTGTAGTACATAGGTTGTGTGAAGCTCTCTGCTGTGATCATGAATAAGATAGGGGAGAAGTGTTCCCTGGAAACGCTGTTCGAGACAAAAGGATCCTAGGGCACTGTGCTGCTTGGGCAGAAAAGTTGGCCGCCTCACAGCAACTGCTTTGTAAATTTCGTTTATTCCTAACTCCGCTATTATTTGACCCTTTCTGTGCTCTCAGGGCTTATGTGTATGGAATGAAATAAAACTTCTATACACATATACACTCACGCTTCGCATTTCAAACTTTCACATCGGCTCATTCGCATACAGTCTCTTATTTCTCTCGTGCGTGTGCCTTCTCCTTGCTCGCGTTTCCCCTTGTGCGTCTTTGATATCACTATACCCAGTACGGATCTATCAGCGCTTATGCGTCGCTTGCTATGAGTGGCCAACGCGCCGCACCTGCCGGCCACCGTCAAGCATGCACTCAACAAAACCAGTGAATATTACCTGTTTATTGGAGGACATAAGGATGACCTCCTTGACGTCACTCAAACCGTCATGCTGATGAACCGCATGACCCACACAAGATTTGTGACGTCATGTGTTCGTGTTATCATTAGATATCATTTGAAAGTTCTTTTTTGGTTATTAACGGGCTGAGGCTAATAAAATTTTGTCTCGCATCGTTATCATTTTGAAGTAGTTCAAACTTGATGTGATTTTGCTGCCTCCACGTCATAAGCCGCCATGTTGGTGAGCCAGTAAGATATGGAGTTTTGACCATGACGTTATGCGCAAGCTATTTATACAGGACAGCACGTACACATGGTATCAGGCGACAGAAAGCCGGCTTTACTTCCGCCACGTATCCACACAATATTTCACTATCCCCCTGCCCGCCATGGTGGTGAAGTGGTTACAATGCTCGGCTGCTCACCCGAAGGTCGTGGGCTGGATCCCGACCACGGCAGTCGTATTTTGGTGGAGGCAAAATGTTAGAGGTTCATGTACTGTGCGATGTTAGTGCACGTTAAAGAACGCAAGAAGGTTGAAATTTCCGGAGCGTTCCCATACGGCGTCCCTCAAACTCATATCGTGTCATTTTCGGAACGTAAAAACGCCAGACATTATTGTAACAATGAGCCGACCACTGGTAACTCGGGCTACACGAGGACATTGGCTAGGGTTAGGCAGAACTACTACTGACCGCAACTTGCCACGATCGCGAAAACGTATGTGCAAACGTCTTTGGACTGTCATCGTCGCAAACGATCACCCGTTAAGCCAGCCAGCCGGTTGCAGGCTGTTCAAGGGCCCACGCCCCCATTTGCACAAATGGGTATGGACGTTCTAGGTTCCTTACTAACGTCTACCACCGGAAACAGGTGGATAATCGTCGCTAGCGATTACTTCACCCGACACGCCGAGACAGGCACTTTGCGACGGGCAACAGCAGCTGAAGTCGGGCGATTCTTTGTTATCACCGACAGAGGTACTGCGTTCATGGCCGACTTCTTCGACACCACCTTGCGAGCAAGTGTTACCGTGCACAGGAAGACCACGGCATACCATCCCCAGACCAACAGGTTAACTAAACGTCTCAAAAGGACCCTGGCTGACATGATCAGCATCTACGTAGACGCAGAACACAAGAATTGGGATGACATCCTATCCTTCGTCACGTTTGCGTACAACACGGCTCGTCAGGAGACCACTCAGAAGACGCCATTCAGTCTCGTTTACGGCCGTCATGTTACAACGTTAGACGCGATACTCCCACATGAAAAACAAGGCCCATAAAGTTTTTACGCAGCGAGCAGAAGAAGCTCAGCAACTTGCTTGGTTACGGATAATTGAAGAACAGGACAGTGATGCTCGGCACTATAATCTCCGGTACAGACCCGTCACATACAACGTGGATGACAAAGTGCGGTTCTAGACACCAATTCGTCGTCGCGGCCTCTTCGAAAAACTGTTGCGGAAATATTTTGGACCTTACAAGGCTCTTCGACGCATCAGCGAGGTCATTTACGAGCTTGTTCTCCGCAGCCCTCAGAGTTCAAAGCGCCGCAGACATTCGCCAAAAATTGTTCACAGGCTTTGTATGGAGCCATGCCATCAGTGACTATAGTTTTTTTTCTGCTTCATGAACCTGCATCACTAGGACGATGTTATTTTTTGCAAGTGGTATAATTTCGAGCGTATCTGCCAGTGGCGAGGGCACAGAAGCAGCGCAAGAACACTTGGTCAGGACAAGGACGAAAAAGACGTGACTGCCTTTTTGCACAGCGTTATAAAGCCTCTTTGTCGGTCGTTCTCCGGGTTTCATCGCTGATCCCTCGTCGTATATTATATGAAAATGCTGCACTATCCAGAGTATTGGCCCACATTTTGTGCTGGCGGAAGACGGGCCCGAGGACGACACGAAATTCTGACCGACATACCCTTAACAGCTTCTCGGTAAAAATATACTTACAAGGGTTGGTTCCTCCTTTTACTTTACTTTTATTTAATATAGGTCTGTGCATAATTGAATAACACCACACACTTTTCGTGAAAAAAACGTGTCAACAAATGCCGACTTCCGTTACAAAGTTGGGAAAAATTTTTTCCCGCTACAATCTTAAAAGCTGCCCTTTAACGAAACGATCCCTTAACCGTGGGTTATCCCCGGGAGACAGCATTGAAAAATTGCGGTTACAGCAGTGACCTGTTAAATTGATGAATAATTAAAGTGTACTCGCATGACCCATTAAATATTTGCGATATATGAATGCAGAATCTGGGATACAGAAGCCAGCATCACAACAGCTAAATGCTATAAAAAATGATAAATTATGGTCTGGTCAAGCCGTAGTATAAAAGTTCTCGACCGCATGTTGCATTTTACTTTACTTTCATTTCTCTTTGAGATGGCATTGACTGTGTTGGTGCAGCGCAATTTATTTGCCTAATCGCACCTTGTTAATTTTCACTCGCTCATCGTATTACAAAGCAAACGCGTAATCGGCTGTTTTTGTTTTGCGAAAGCATAGGAGCCGCGCATGCAAGAAAGCGACGTTATAGCCCGAAGCAGACGTCGACATATACCAGCCTTGGGGAAGAGTTGCGATAGCATACCGACGGAAACTCGTTTAGACTGTAAGCGCATCAGCAGTGAAGACACGGACACGATGAGAATAAAATAGAGGTGGTGTTCGTTCGGGGTGGCGACGTGATAGCCCAGAAGTCGGGTAGCATACGTTACCGCGGCATCGAGAGCGCTCGCAGCACGACCGCCCCGTTGCCCGCGATCTGGGAAAACCGTGTCGTTCTCGCCCAGACCCTCTCACGCTGGGGTATAAAGAGAGCCAAAGCAGGACGACGATTGTGCGAGGCTAGCTTGTCTTCTGCCTCGTCTGAGCCGCATCATGCGTCTCGCTGTAAGTACTGCTTCTGAGAAAAACCCGGATAATTTATCATTTTTCTTTCGAGTTTCCGCCCTTTTTTCTTCGACAGCTGCTTGGATTGCAGCGTGACTTGAATGTATTTTTTTAGTGTTCACAAATGAGCTTCCGGCAACTGTTCGAAGTCGTGCCGCGGTGCATATGGATCATTGCATAATAGTTCTGTCAGTTATCACTGTTCTACTGTACACTATTCGTCCTTGCTGTAAGCGTGTTTAGTGATCATTTTAAACTCGCGTGTTGCTTCTGTACAAGGTATAAACTAATATTCAGCAGAAAATTGCTCAGGTTTGCCCATAAAAGGTGAAATATAGATAGCGCATGTTCGTGTGAAAATCACACATCACATACGTAAGTGCTGATAGGGTACAGTTACTTCAGTGAATAATCACAAAACTTGCGAAAAGAAGGGTTGTACGATCACTAAAATTAGAAATTATTTAATGTCCGCAATTTCATCAATAGGCTCCCTCCAGTACAAATGATAATGATGTAAAACGCAGAAATCACCCCTAATGTCACTCGTCAGTAATCTGACATTTGTTTTTTGCATTTGCTTTGAGGCACACTCAAAGTGCAGAACTCACTCTTGTTCTACCCTTCACCCCATCGCTAAACTAAATGCTGAACGGAAGCACAAAAGCCTGCTGTTTCATCTGGCCTCACATGAACAGCATGTTGGAGTGCTAATGTATTATCGCATTACTTCAAATATTTGTCTTTATCGGCTGATTATGCTAGAACATACTATAATTAGAGGCGTTTGCGAGATTGTGCTCGAAGAACAAAGCATTTAGGGGTGGGCTCTGTTTTGCACACGTGCTACGTCATATCAGCGGTGCTTTAAACTAATACCACCCCATCAATTACTTGTTGAGTGAATCACATGGACAGTTAATTCCTTAGGCCAAAAAATGTTGAGGTGGTTGTTTATTGCCCGTGTGAAGGTCAACATGAGTTCCGCATACATGACTCATGCAAAAATAAGTGAGAGCTGTAGTGAAGTTGGTTCATGCGCTATAAAGTAAAATGCAGCACTTCCATGTCCCAGGTGTTGCTCTCGTCCCTCGTGGCGTATGCGTCGGCTGGTGTGCCCTTAGCACTTGGCGGTGGCTCGCTCGACGGTGGTGCTTTACTAGGCGGTGGCCTCGGACAAGCAGCGACATTGGGCGACGGCCTGGGCACAGCAGCTCTGGGCCACCTCGGTGGTTTAGGCGGCATTGCCGGCGTCGGTAGTCTTCATGGCCTGGGTGCTGGAGGGCTAGGTACCCCCGGCCAAGGAGTCAGTACACTCAATCTTGGCGGCCTCGGAGGTCTAGGAGCTCTCGGAGGCCTAGGAGCCCTCGGAGGCCTAGGGACCCTTGGAGGTGGAGGACCATTGCTGGCTACCGGTCCAACCGTGGTGGGAGTGGTGAATTCTGCAGCGACTCCAGTGTCTGTTACGGCCGGACCGGCAACAGTTTCGAGTCCGGTCAATATCAATGGTCCAGTGGCGACTCCTGTGGCATCTGTAACATACGTCAAACAGCCAGTTATTAAGCTTCGCTATGTGACCAGGCCCGTCACCGCTTACGTGAGGCAGCCAGTCGCAACTCTGACGCACACCATAAGGAAGATCGTCAACTACAACACGGTCGGATCCCTGTTAGGAATCGGAGGCCCTGGCGAATTGGATATCGGTAGGGCTCTTGGTGGTGGTGACGGATTGAGCGGAGGTGACGGAGGTGACGGAGGTGACGGAGGGGATGGAGGTGATGGAGGCAACAGAGATAATGGTGGAGGCTTCAGTGGTGGTAGCAGTGGCGGAAGTGGTGGCGGAAATGGTGGCGGTGATGGCTTCAGTGGCGGCAGTGGTGGAGGCGGTGGTGCTGGAGGCTTTGGAGGTGGTAACAGTGGCAGTAGCTTTACTGGTGGTAACGGTGGTGGAGGATTCGCTGGAGGTCATGGTGCTGGTGCACACATCACCGGAGGAAGTGGAGGTATCTCTAGAGGTCCCGCCCCAAGCGGTGGCTTTTCTGGCGGTAATGGTGGCGCAGGAGACTTTTCTGGAGGATATGGTGGTGCTAGTAGCGGTGGTGGCTATGGTGGTGCCAGTAGCGGTGGCGGCTATGGTGGAAGTGGTGGTAGTAGAGGCTTTGGAGGGACCAGTGGCGGGGGCTTTGGGGGAAGCGGTAGTGGTAGGGGCTTTGGAGGAAGCACTGGCGGGGGCTTCAGTAGCAGCCACAGAAGCTCCGGTGGTGGTGGATTCGGACCTGCACTTGAAGGTGGATTCAAGCCCATGCGGATTGCAGGACGAGGACCATCCTTCAATGTGTATAGAAAAAGTAACTACTGAGCCCTCAGTATTAGGTCACCCATGTAACAAAAATTGTGGCGAGCTGCTCCTACGTGCAGCTTGCCTTCAAGAAGTTTATCCAAAGGAGCCATTGCAAAAGTCACCCACCAGCCACAAGCTACTTGAGGAATGCATGCATCAGTGCGTGTCATGTGGTTCCCTTCTCTGTACAATACTTCCTCTCGCACTCATCAATTTGCCACCATTGTGTTTCGCAAAGCATGCTTTTTTTGCTGTATAAAGCTATCAAATAAATTTGCTTGTGACAATTGTTACTTGGGTATTCATTTTATTTGTCTCATTTTTTTATTTCAGTGCTAATTCAATGTGAAGACAAGCGTTTGTATTTGCGTGAAGCATACGTGTAGGTTTTATTCTTATTCCTACTTGTATCAGTTAACAATTAAATTCACGCTCGCCCACCTTGTGTCTAAATCTTGTGCACCGCAAGCCCTCGCAGGTAGTTCCACTATGGGAGAGTTTGTTTATTGAGTCGAACAAACTGCTGGAATAACGTGGATATATACGAGCTCACAAGGTCGAAGGAAAGAAAGAAATCGACAAGAAATACGCTCATTTACAACTGCAGTTATTGCAGAAATAATCTTTGCACGAGAACCCCAAAATATACATGCGTAACAATTTATCAGAAAAAAATTGGTTCATATCTGCATTTAATATGCAAATGTCGTCGAAAGACGATAGTCTTGCGTGTGGAGAGAGTGAACAAAATATTTATTTGATGTTCTGCGCAAAATTGGTGAATGGTATTCTGGAGGCGCTGCGTTAGAGTGCTTTGGGCATGCAGCGAAGGTGAACGAGCGCATCAAGTCACGTCACACATAAGACATGAGCGCCATCTGGCAGTTTTCTGCAAAAAGAAAGCGCGTGACTCTGAGACGGGTGTGCACGCCCGTCTCAGAGAGGATAAGGTGTAGAACGCAAGGCGACGGGTAAGTGCCACCACCATCTAGTTTTAGCAAAACGTTGGAAACACTCTCTTTTTCCTAAAAGCGTTGGATGGTTAGCGCAGCGTGATAAGCGCTACCGTCCCTAAAATTATTTATGTATGCCTTTTCTAGTAAAAGGCGCACTTTCAGAATATATACGTGTTGTTATTGGGCCCCAGACATGCACAATAATTGCTTTTTAATCACCAATTGCACAAGTATGAATGCTGAATCTTGAACAACATTGGTGGGCGCTGCGGATGGGGTCGGCCGTTTCAAGTACCCGATGCTGTTAATAGTAAACAAGAAAACAAATATACAGACAGACAGACAGACAGACAGACAGACAGACAGACAGACAGACAGACAGACAGACAGACAGACAGGCAGGCAGACAGACAGGCAGACAGACAGACAGACAGACAGACAGAACAAAACTTTTGCGTCGAAGGTCCCCAAGAAAGACTATCGTCTTCAAAAAAACGTCACCCAACACAAAAATGAGCCCCACCCAAGGTGTATTTTTCTCCTTAAACTACTTGGAAAGTGCACTTATCTTTCAGCGAAACAGAGGAAACACTGATGGTCTCATACACGTGCTCGCATTCGCCCTAATGTGCCCTTATTCCATATTTCTCTGTGGGTTTAAATATGCTCAGAATACTCGTGCTGCCAAACTGCGGATTGCACCCAAAATCCTTACAGTGCATAGACTAGTGCGTGCCGCCTGCGAGAACCTTCAAAAACGGGGCGCATGTTCTTCGAGTCAATTTTCTAGCCATTGGCTCGTCTGGTCGATGTAAACTTTTCTGCACCTCAACGGTATTGCAATAGTATTTTAGACAATATACAATACTGTATGGATGATTCTACGTAAGATCGAACAAAGTATGGCCAGTACACCTCTAAAATTTCTTTCAAAATTTTATATATCGTTGCCTTGTGAGTGGAAAAAAAAGAGATCTGCAATTGGTTTTGCCAGAAAAAATTTGTCGAAGCACAGTAAATCAATAATGACGAAGAGGGAGAGTGCCACGCTTACCTGTTTGGTTGTTTTTCCGAATTCGTTGATGAATTAAACAAAATTAATGACCGCTACGCTTTTCAAACTTATTTAACTAAATACAAGGTCATTTTTTCTTACGTTCAGCTTTATTTCGATTCTCTGGGCAGTTTGGATATGTTTTTTAAAAATCACCAAATTGACCCAGAAAACGTTTTTTGCCTACTTTGCAGGCCTCTGTTACAAAAAGGGCTTACTACACAGCCGTAGAAATTCCACACTATTTCCTCGGCATGCTTACTTATAAAACTGCTGAAGCTTGTAATAATAATACGCTTCAATACAAAGATACAATTGACCCAAGGTGGTCAAAATTTCTGGAGCCCTCCACTACGGCGTCTCTCATAATCATATGGTGGTTTTGGTACGTTAAACCCCACATATCAATCAATGAAAGATACAATTGTGCTAACTTCAAGAAAAGAGCATGCACGTGAACCTTCTTGCGATGAATAAACACCATTTATTTATCTTTCTTAAACTTTCCCCGCTCATTCTCTTTTACATAAGCTTTCACAATCAATAAAAACATGTTGGGTAATTTAGTTTCACTTGCAGTTAAGGCCCATCAAAAAATACCAATGCACAAGGATAGACAATTGCATACCAGACTTCCTGCATACTAGGTATGAAATGCAGGCCTATACTTCAGCTTCTTAAAAGGTAAGCAAAACTGAAATAGCTGTCGACTGCATTGAGGACGCCAATTTCGAAATTATTTGGTCACGGGAGCGGCAATGAGTGGGCACAGTCCGGCGTGTTCCAGGGCAAAGAGGGCTCGCTTTCGCGTTCTCAGAGGGATAGATTGCGATATAGCCGTAGGTAACTTCCACTCATGTGCATTGGTTTATCCACAGTTTGTTTGCATCACAGCCACGCACTGTTAACATGGCATATCAGAATCGCAGGCGTAGCAGACATTGTTTGCTGCTCTTGTGTATTGAAAATAAACATGAACAAAAGCACCATCTACAGGACGTACTTGTATATTTAAACAAAAAAAAAACCACCAGGCCTGCGCGGAACGCCCCGCACAGTCACAGCAAAAGCGGGAAGAGCGCCTTTTCAGAGCTTCTTTTGAACACTCCTTCGGCAAATGCTACAAACACACTTGCTGGGTACCGCTATGCCGTTAACCATTGTAATTTTTTTGCAGTAAGCCGGACTTTATTATGCTAATCTTCGCCATTTCTCGGAGAAAGTGGAATACTGAAGGCTGGCACGCAAGGGAGCCGGGTTCGAATACCACTGTGTCATTGTTGTTTTTTATTGATTTAGTCTTCTTTCTTATTTTGTGTGATAGTAGTTAAGGACACCGGCGGCAGCGGCTGCGGTGGACAACTACGGCACCACATGTGATCCGTGCTGTGATCTCATAACAGATTCCGCTATAAAAACGTCCCGAGGGGACTGATGTAACTTGGGCACGACAAGATTCCAACGCACCTCCTTGGCGCGCCAACAGAGGCGATCGATAAAGGTCGCAGATTTCCTCTCTCTAGCTCAAGTTATGCGACTACATTCGGCTCCCTCACAAGAAACACTTCAAGGCGTTCACGTTGAAGTTAAAGTTTGACTGCGTCCCCGTAGTGGGAAGCCCCATAAAAGCTCTTGTCAGGGAGCTGCAAGCGTTCGCTTTCCGAAAGCGCATTACAGCCACTTAAAGAAGCCAGAGAAACTGGGCTGCGCGAAATGATCTCAGTGAAAATCATAAAGGTGGTGCTCTAGGAGGCTAATCTAATGGGAATAAACGCCAAACTATAGAAAAGTGGGCGCGCCTGGCCATCTCAGATGAGAGCAGCAGACGACTTGCACTGGCCGTGCGCACAGGCCGCTTCTCACACCTTGTTTGACTCGGATAGAGCTCGCGGTTTGCGCTGCTGCTGTGGGTTTGATGGCGGCAAAGTATAGCTCCTAGCTTAATTATTGTGCAGGCTACCATTCGATGTACAAGAAGCTCATTTCGAAGACACGAAATGTTCGTGGAGTTCCCCACTTATGCGTCACAGCTTGATAACGCAGTGCCTCAAGAAACGCCACTCGTACAACACTCATTTTTATCATTCACTATCATGTTTATCACTGCTAATTAGCTGTGGAAAGACATAGTTACTCCATACACTATCATTCCAAACTCAAAAGCCATACGCGTTCAAAAATTCCATACCATCTTCAGACCCACATGTTTTGCTCAGTCTTGTGCAAGAGCCTCACTCGATGCATTCTCTTCACACTACAACACGCCAGACTTTGCGTGCTTGATTGCTCGGTAATCCAGCACTCATGGCAGCTCTCGTTACCAAATCATTTCAATGTTGACGTCAATTCAGTGTCGCCGACAGCTATTTTAGTGCTGCTTGCTGTTCAAGAAAGTGCAGCAGAGACCTTCATTCCATACTTACCGTGCAGAAGTCAGATCTACAAGTGTCTATCATTGCGCAAGGGCATTATTCGACGCACCGTAACTGCAAGGGAAACCACATTATGCAACAAATTTTTATCGATTGTGAAAGCTGTCTTGCAAGAGAATAAATGGGGAAATAGATATGTAGGGTTCGACGTTCCAAAACCACTATTTGATAATGAGAGACGCCGTTGTGGTGGGCACCGGAAATTTCGGTCACCTGGCGTTCTTTAACGTGCACCCAAATCTGAGCACACGGGCCTACAGCTTTCTCACCTCCATCAAAAAATACAGCCGCCGTAGCCAAGATTCGATCCTTTGACCTGCCGGTGAGCAGACGAATACATTTTCCACTAGACCACCGCAGCGGGGACAACTGAGAAAAGTGGGAAATATTTCAGAAATGGTTTATCAGCCTAGTCGTTTTCAGAAGTTTCTTTTGCATGCCGTTTTATTGAAGTAAGCGCCATCATAATTTTATTGACAGTTTTAATAATATTAGCTTCAACAGTTTCATAAATATGCATGCTGAGAAAGTATTGTGGAATTTTCGCCACTCTGTCATGAGCCCTTTTGAAGTAAAGACCTGCAAAATAGGCAAAAAAAACGTTTCTTAGGTTTATTTTTAGATTGTTTTATAAATGTATGCGCCCTTTATACTCATAGATGCGAAAAGTAAGTGATTGTAATAAAAATTACGCATGAATTAAGCTTAACAAATTTGAAGTACGTTTCTTTATTATAGTTTGCTGTTATGATCAACTTTAGTGAAAAAAAAACAGAGGAGGTATGCGTGACATTCTACCTCTTCGCCATTATCGATTTACTGTGCTTCAGAAAAAATTCTTGGTGCCAAAA